GCCCGATGCGGGACTCGATCCCGGGACTCCAGGATCATGACCTGAGCCGAAGGCAGTCGCTTAACCAACTGAGCCACCCAGGCGCCCAGAGCAATGGTTTCTTTTGAATATAGTTTAGGACTAGATTATCTAGATTGCTAGACATGGTCTGAGCTTAGAATTAGTCCTCCCGTACATAAAGCAAGCTCTCTGAGTAAGACACTTCCAGGTACAGTGATTTTCATTATAGTCATAAGTCTTAATAATCACCAATAACACTTTATTGGTCTTAACCAGTCTTAGCCTGGTCTTAGAATGAGACTTGATCAGAGCCCTAAAGCAGCCCGATTCCTATTTTAACAACCAGTTGATTCATACCCTCTGAGTCTTAGGCTCCTGACCTTTAAATGCAGCCTGGCATTAAAAGCCCTTGCATCTTTCCAAGATAGCAGTTCTCAACTTCCAGTGTATTCATATATTTACCTTCTTTGACTGTTTAGCTACTTAATGGAGTACTTTTTGCACTGCCTCATTAGCCAAGAAGTTCTCCCATTACTCCAAATTCCCCTTGTACAATTCTACTCTATTGGTAGAAATAATGAGATTATAGTCCTAAAAATGCCACACCCAAAGCATAAAACTGGTTTCCTCTTCACTAGTAGAGAAGAGCAATTTCCCCCTCTTTTTAATAAAGTTTCTCTCTTTTTTTATTTGGTATTTTTTGCTCAGTAATTCATACTCATGAAAGAAATGTGGAAGCTGTTGAAAGACTAAAAAAAGAAATAAAAATCATCCGTAATCCCACCAAGGAAGAAAAACCACTGTTAATATTTGGGCCACTTCCTTATACTCTTTTAAAGAATCAAGGAATCTTTGCCAATAGGAATCCAGCTGCCAAGTATTAGGTGTGCTTGAAAGTTTAAATACACTAGAAGTTAAGGTTGCCTCTAGCAATATTGAGTTCATACAATTTATTTCTTGTACATCAGATCTCTTCCAGAAGTAAGACTTTCAAACAATTTTACCCAGAAAAATGAGCTTTGAAAATGTCTTGCCATGTGTGTTAATCACCTTTGTATGTGCTTCACGTACTTCTGGCTAATATGTTCTATATGCCTGCTCCATCTCCAGCCCCGGTGGAGCAGCTCTGATCTCCTGATACCCCATCAACGGTAGATTTAAATAAGTGTTGTTGAAAATTGTGTCAAATGCACCTTGAGGAAAACTATTGCAAGATGCTATGCCTATTTTATAATGGTCTCTTTTTAAATGAAATTGACTCTTTTGTCTTCTTCTTTCCAAATTCACATATACACGTCATAATTCAGAAGCCTTTATTAAATACACGTCATGGTCTCTTCTACAAGGTGGCTGGGGCTACAGAAACAGCAAGCCTGCAACAATTTAAAAAGGGGTCACCGAGTTGGTACAAACTGAAAACACAACAGGCTTTTAGGAAAAGGGGTGACTCGAGTAGGCACAACTGTTAAGATCTGTACTGATCTGTGAAGGATAAGAGAAGAACCAGCAAGAAAAATACCAGCAGAGATCAGAGGCTGGAATTAGCCTTCAGCTAACATTTACTATGCACCAATGCCACATGCTGGGCATTGGGATGGTGGGGGTTGGTGAGAGATATGATAAAAGCAGCACTGAGTGGGGGCTCGTAAGTGCCCTAGACAAACAGGAGAAGCTTCCATGAGGAGATGCCCCTGAGCTGAGCACTGAAGGAAAGAGAAGAGGAAGGGAATTGCAAGCATGGAAGGGCAAAGAAAGGACGCATGCAGCAACATGACCACTTTCAGAACAGGATATGGGGGAAGGATGGGGGAGAGGAGTCTGCCGAAAGAGGCAGGAGCCAAACCCTAAGTCCTGGGTGCTGGGCTGATGAATGTGTACTTCTCACCTTTACCCCCATTAAACCAAATGCTAGAAGGACATCTGTGCCATGGATAGAGATTTCTGGAATTGCCATGAGACATGAGACTTCACCCCTCCCTGGCAGGAACTCTCAGGCCAGGTGAGGAGGCAAGAAGCAGTCCTCCTAATTTTACTTTCTCAGAGTTTAGGCTCTCCATGACAATCTTACCTGGCCCAATGGCCAAGATGACTCTCAAAGGAAAGACAAAGGAATTTGAATGGTGAGGACATGCCGCCCTCCACAGTTTCTTCTTAGGAGCAAGATGGCTATGGGGATCTGTCCACCTCCAGCTTTCCCTGAGCACCCCTCTCTCTCCCACAAGTCTTCTCAAAAGAATGAAGCAGGAGGGGAGGCCCAACCTCATTCAAGCAGGAGTCTGTTGCTCAGAGGCTACCTAGAGCCTTGCCTGGAAGAGGAGGGTTGAGAGCCCGAGAATGGTTACCTTGAGCTGGATCAAGGGATAGACCCAGGAGCTCCAGAGCCACGGCCACAGCCACCGTCTTCTGCTGCCTGCTCTCCTTCAGCATGGTTCCCTCCAGACACCATGCTTACCCCAGAGCCTCCATGTATCCCCCTGCCTTGGGCATCTGATCCCGACCTCCTGTTTCCTGACCTTGTACCAGAGAGCCTCCGCTCCATGCCTGGCATACATTAACAGATCAACAAATATTTTTGAGATAACAAATGGAAGTCAGCTTTCACTTCCTATTTACCACCTCTGCTTCATGCCTTCATCTAATCTCTGTGTCTTTGACCCAGGTTATTAATATGGCCCTGGGAGTGGATTACAGATGCACAGCTGCCTTGCTGAATGGTGCGGTGTTATTGTCGGCTACTTCCTGATCTACACTGATTATAACCATCCAGTCAGGACACATGCCCCCTTCCACAACCAGAGCAACATTAGTGTATGTCATTCATTCATTCGTTCATCAAACATTTATCGAGGCCATGCTATAAGTCAGGCACTGGGCTGGGAGCTGAGAACACAGAAATGAAAAAACAAAACAAAACAAAGACAGAAACATGTAGAGAAGTGTCTAATACCAACATTAATGCTGTGAAACGGTCTGGAGGATTCAGGTGGGACACGCTTTGAGAACCATGGTCAGAGCATAGCTATCGATGGGAAAATAGATTCATAACCATATGAAGAAATTTAAAATATACCTGAAGCACTAAAGACTTATTTTCCTCTGCAGTTAGCTTACATAGATGACAGTTAATGATGGTGGCTGCCATCTACTGAGCACCTACTATGTGTAGGCACTGTGGTGTGTACATCCCTGAGCATAGGAACACTTTGAGATGGGTGAATGGGGTGGGGCAGGGAAGAGAGCTACTCATGGCTCCTGGTTTTGTATATGGCTGGTTTCAAGGCAAAATAAGCTATACTGAGAAAAGTTCAAAAGATAATTAAACCAGTTAAAAAGCAAAAACAGCAATGGGACTGAAGCTGAGTTTCAGAGCCAATTTCCAAGAAGTCATTTCATCATCACAGAACATCAAATGGAACTCCATTTTCAGCTATGCAAATTCCAAAAGAATAATACCTCACATTTGCATAATGCTTGATGCTTTTCAAAGTGCTTTCCCAGTTATTAATCTAGGGGAGGATTTATTACCACCGGAAACATAAATTGAAATTCTGTTCAAACTCGAGTTCTCCATTAATTTTTCCACTTTCCCCTCAAAAACTGGAGCCACATAAATCCAGGTGCTTTGGATCGAGTGGGTGACTATAGTAAGTTTAACCAGCCAGGTGAATATGCATAAATGGAGCATCTTGTGGGCCCTTCCATCTACAGACACAGGCCTTGGGCAGAGCCAAACTTTGAAAAGCCTCCTGTGGAATTAACCAGATAACAGGGAGCTACTCTCAGTTCAAATCTGAGATCCTTTCAAGGTCTCATGCACTCCGTTCATCAGAATCCATTCCTTTCTATCAAATAGCAGAAAACTAGGAAATTAGTTCCACCACTTTGTCCTTAAACCTACAGAAATCCCTGCCAGTGGCCTCCTGCAAAGTGGCCCACGATGCCAGACAGCTCCTACGTCCTTCTTGTTTTTAATGTCATATGAACCAAGAGGCTGAATCCACAGTACATCCACCACGGGGAGCGGATCTCAGAAAAGCGAGGTGAGAAGATACGACACGTATGAGGAAATAACTTCTCCCCAAACCTTTCCAATATTTTTCTTTTTCCATCTTTCAAACTTAATTATGTGTAGTGTTCTCAGTCACTGAATCACCAGCCTTTCCTGACACCTCGATCTCATGCATTTTAGCAAAAGATTAACCTGGCTGTTTGCTTTTAATTCTGAAGCTGTGTTAATACTCAACTCCCTCTAGATTAGAAGAGAAGAAAAACACACTCCCACATCCCCCACCCTGGCTCCAGCGAAGGTCCAGGGCTGCTGTTACCGGCAATGTCACGGTCATGGGAACTTGCTGGCTGACTTACCATTTCAGGAAAGCCAAGAGGATCACTGAGAGGGCCACTGTCAGCATGGGGCCATTCACTTCCAGTTTGAGAAACCCCAAGAAGACTTCCATTGTTCCTCAGAGTCTCTAGAAGGGCGATCCTCCAGAGGAAAGAGGGAGGCTGATCCCCCTGCTGTTACAGGGACCACGATCCGCAGATGGAAGAAGGATCAGGCAACCAAGACCACAACACGTCAAGTGGGTCCCCAAAATGTGCTCTCCGTCAGAGTGTCTCCTTATAAAGAGGAAGGAAGGGAGGGAAGAAACACAGGGTTTCAACATAAGGCAATGAATCAGCAACTTTATTTTCTTGAAGACTGCACTGTCAATAAACATTTATGTTAACTTCCCAGGGAATTAGCAGAAGGACTGGTCCCATGTTTGCTGAGACACTAAATAGTTGCAACCATAGATTTCTACTCCAACCAGTAGTCTTTGGAGAAAGACTCCCCTTCAAAAAAAATAAATTCATAATTCAATGAAGATATGGGGTCTGGAGACTCTGAATGTCCCAGAAAAAATTGGGGTCAGATACCAGCCTGATGGAAAATGCTGGTGGCACTGAGGATATCCATCCCACAAAGTTCATTGGTTCCTGGGGTCTGAGGGCTCCTTGGTGACTGGCTGATGGAATAGACCAAAGATCTTGCCTTGCGTCAGCATTCTCATCATGGGTTGGAGGATTTCTCCCATGTCTAAAAGTGCGTCCGCAGGCTCATGCATGGGTCCTTTGTTCCAGCTCTGAGCTTATCTGACTGAAGTAGACTGAATCATTTTTTGCTTATTAGCGTATTACACTTTTAGTAATAGGGAGGATGTATCAGAGAGTGAGTCATTCACTCATCATGATATTCATCCATTCATGCAATATATATGGGGGACCAGGCTCTGTGCTGAGTTGACAGTGTTTGAAAAATAGAAGTTGTACCAGGCTCTGGGAAAATGTCTCGGGGGAGAGAAGGACAATAAACAGGTAGACAAATAAATAAGTGATTGCAAGTTGAGAGACGTACTGTGAAGGTCACGGACACAGGGCTAGGACTAAGAACTGGGGAGACCCACTAAGGGAGTGTAGCAGGGGAAATCTGTCTGGAAAGGGAAAGCTTGAAGCTGAGATTCTCTGTTGAAGAGAAGTCCATCATGTAAAGAGCCATGGGCAAAAAGGGTGACACAGACAGAGGCTCTAAGGTGGGAAAGAATTCCCGTGGTGGGAACTGGAAAGAGGCCAGTCCTACTGGAGTAGAGCAGACCAGCTTGGGGAGGCCTCTCTTCCCTAAGAGAGGGATACCGTCACCAGAGGCTAGACAGCACAAAACCACAGTGAGAGGCGTGGGCTTCATTTTACGTTCCACTTAGGGTTTTAACATGCTCGTATTTATGCTTGGTAAAAGCATTCTGGCTGTGCGTGGAGAATTTGTTGGAAAGGAGCAAGAGGAAGAGTAGGGATGCCACTTAGAAGACTATTCATTTGTCCCAAGATGAGCCTGCTCGGATGGAGCAGGGATGGAAGTAGAAGGAAATAGATGAATTTGAAAGATATTTAGGAGTAGACCACAGAATTTCCCAGTGGATGGGATGTGACAGGGAAGGGGAAGGAGGAAGCAAGTCTGACTCCTGGGCTCCTGACTTGAGCTGTGGGTTGATGTATAGAGGTGACATTTACTGAGATGAGGAAGATGGGGTATTGGTGGGAAAAATCAAGAGTTCAGTTTGGGTCCTGTTTAGTCTGAAATGCCTGGGAGACATCTGAGTGGAACTGTCAAGTTGTAGAGGGATCTTGGCTGAAAACATAAATAATAATTAATAACAACAATGCCATTAATGGAGTACTAACTACGGGCCAATTACTATTCTAAAGGCATTGATATGTGTTAACTCATTCAATCCTCATAAACAACACCATGTGGCCAAGCTTTATAGTAACCCCCTTTTATAAAAGAAACTCAGACATGGGATGTACGACTCCAAAGTCCATTTTCCTAATCAAAAGATTATATTCAAATATGGACAGCATCAATATACAAATGGTATTTAAATCCAGAGGAAGAGATGAACCACAGCCACAAATAGGATAGCAAACCACACAAGTACTAAGTACCTTCTCAATACTTCCCTTTTCTCTGACCATCTGCCCTGCCTCCCTGTTTTTCATTCCTACTTAGGTGCCCCCAACAGTTGCACCCCAAGTGCCCCACACTCCAGCCCAGCCCTTTTGGACGTCCCCTCCCTTCTCCATATTCTGTATCTCCCCTGTCCCATGTGACCAGGACTGTGCTGAGATGGTAAGGGATCTGTGTATTCCCCGCTTACAAAACAGAGCTATGCTTCATCAAGGGTCATCTGAAATACAATGCTTTCAATCACAGGAGCCACAGGATGGGGCCTGGGGGCAGAGCTACCAGGTGTGGAGGAAGCAAATCATCATGGCCATGGATTCAGAAAGTTGGAAGGACCTCAGCTATTACTAAGGCTGGTGGACGTATCAGAGAGATGCTCGTGAAAAAAACTTTTTTTTTTTTTTAAAGACTCCAAGGTGAAATAAATACAAGAAAATGCTGGTGTAAGCATCGATAAGTAAGCTTATTTCCTGAAAGACCTCTCGGGAGACTTGAACTTGCTAATGTGCGTTGTGAAGCTCAGAGAGTGGCATGCAGAGAGCAGCGTCGTATTTGACCACAGAATTCTTGTTAAGGGTCATTTATGAACACATCCCAGATGTAGTGTTCTTAGGAATGTGCTTTGAGAAATGTTGACTGAACCCAACTCTGATTTACAGAGGAGGGAATAAAAACCCAGACAGGGAAAGTGACTGGTACAAAGTCCCATTGCTGCCTAGTGATAGAACCTGGGTCTCCCATCTCCCGCCTCAGGCTCTTTATCTAGAATACGCTCCTCATGTCACTGCCTGTGCCTAGCACAGGCCCTGCCCTGTTCACAGAGCACCTCTGAATGTTAGTGGCCAGTTCCGAGAGGTCTGACTTCCTTGAGGGGTTGCCAGCTCCCCAAGTGACTGAATTCACTCATACATTCCTCTGACTAATATTTTTGGAGCCCTTTCTATGTGATTTGTGATTTGGAGGAGCTGCGAATGCTGTGGAGAGATCATCACACCCTTTCCACACTAGCGTCAAAGCAGAGATAACACTCAGTGAATTGTAGAGAGTAAATTAACGAAGATGGAGTGGGAGGGTCAGATATGAAAGATATTAAGCATTTTTATCAGGGAGTAACATGATTAGGAATGTATCACAATCTTGAAATCTATGATGCAATATAGGGACATTTTGGGGTTTTTCCACAATGGAGGACAGACTGTCGCCATGATGTTTATCATAATTAAACATCAGGCTTTTACTCTCTGAATGTTTTCTTTTTTTTAAAGATTTTATTTATATTTTAGAGAGAGAGGGAGCACACAAGCATGGGGAGAGGCAGAGGGAGAGGGAGAAGCAGACTGCCCATTGAGCTGGGAGCCCGACGTGGGGCTCGATCCCAGGACCTGGAGATCATGACCTGAGTCGAAGGCAGACGCTTAACCATCTGAGCCACCCAGGTGCCCCTGAATATTTTCTTTTCAAAAAATCAAATTTTTAGAACTTTTTAACAAACATTCTATAATTCCAACTCCCAGAGATAAACTCTGTCAACAAATTAGCATATATCCTCTCACATTCTTTTCTTTGCAAATACAAATGTAGTAGGTATATTCTCAGTTTTTATAAAAACAAGATCATCGTACCCATGCCCTTCCACAACTGGTCTTTTTCACTTACTGTAGCATGCATATCCTTCTACGCCACACCTAGAGAGGTACGTCATTGGCTTCCTAGAATCCCATGGTACAGATGTGTTGTGACTCATTTAGCCTGTCCTTCACCGGATGGCATCTGAATTGCTTCCAAGCGTTCCCAACCACAAATGAGGCTGCAGTGACCATCCTTGTACATATCGCTATGGCCTTGGGGAAGGACATCCCAAGTGAAAGTCTTAGAAATGGGAGTGGGGCACCCAAAGATATGCACTCCAAAAAGGCTGGTGGGTGCTTCCCTCCCTAAAGGCAGTTTCAGTTTTCCCTCCCTCGAGCTATGTGTCGAGGTGCCCACTTACCCCACCTGGTAGGACACCCCACAGAGCTTTGCTCCTTCTGTCTCAACCCACCCCAAGTCCATCCCTTTTTTCTCCTACATCCAGGCAGACACCTCCCCCAGACTTGAGTCAACTGTTTTGACTTAAGTCTTGTGTTTCTTTTTAAAGCTTTCACTCCATAAATTCTGTGGTATTTCCTCCATGTTCTCTTTGTTTAAAAACTGCCTATGCAGACGTCTAAGTGGTGCCTTCCTTCTCTGCTGAAGGCTCCCAGCTGGCCTGCCCGAAGCCTTGATGTCTCAGGGAGGTTTGAGGCACTGGGCACATTCTCCCTGCCAAGTAGGGCCCCAAGTGAAAGGACAATGGGGCTTACCCAGCACCACAGAAGTTCAGAGAACATTTACACAGAACCTCATTTCAGCCTAGAGCAACCCTGAGGAGTAGGTGAGCAGGACCTTTCATTCCTGGGCTCTGAGAGGAGGAAGCTGGAGCTCAGAGATGTAACATGACAAAAATCACGCATTAATAATTTCCGGAAGCCAGGCTCAGGCCCCAATCTTCTGGCTTGAAACCTAGTGTTTTCCCCATTAAATCTAAAGTCACATTTTGGCTTAAAAATGCATAGTTCACCAAGCCAGCCCATGGTTGTGATACAGTTTATCTTTAGGTTTCCCCCCTGGGGCAGAGAGTTGCTATAGTTAGGGAAGATGGAGGGATGGTGTTGGCCTGTGAGCTGCTTTTATCTCTTTGCAGAAGATACTAGGGCCCCTTTTGGAGGGGGCAAACAACAAGCTCCTCAACACCATCCAATATCTTAAGAGATTCTCTGTCCACTTTCTGAGACTGAGGTCAGATGATGAGGGCTCGTCCATTCCTTCAACAAACGTTTATTGAACAATTGCTAAGCCCTAAGCACCAGGGATTGAATCCCAACGTATAAGACCTAGGTCTCGCCACCAACACACTCTCCTCCGAGGATAGGGAAACAGAAATGTAAGAACCTAAGTGCCCTCAGTGTGAGAGGTACCATGACAACAAATACGTACAGGGCACAGAGGGAGCAAAAACAGGAGGGAGAGGATTGGTAAAAAGTTTGAACAGATGACACATGAGCTTAGACTGGACAGATGACATCACTGAGCAGATGAGAATGGGACAGATGTGCTTAGCCGAGAGAACACAGCTCACTCTTGCTCCAAGGCATCAGTAGCTGGCAGGAAGAAGGGAGAACAGGCAGATAGTCAGAGGCCAGGTCATGCAAGCCATTGTGGGCCAAGCCAAAAAGTTTAAACATTATTCTAGGATCCATGGGAAGCCAGAGGAGGACCTAAATTGAGCAATAACATGATTAGATTTGCTTTTAGAAATTTCCCTCAGGAGACAGATTGGATGGGTCAGATCTGAGATGGGGAGACCAGTGAAGAGGTTGCTTGGCCATCTAAACAAGAGATTATGGCCTGAATAAAGCCATAGAGCTGGAAATGGGGAAGAGAAGACTGCACTTTGGGATTACTGGGACGGCAGGATCAACCGTATTTGGTCATCGATTGAGTATGGGAATGAAGAAGAAGGGGTTGTTGAGGATAACGCCCCAATCTCTAGCTCCACTGATTGAGCCCATGTGTGCTATGCACCACAAGAAGGACTTGGGAGGAGGAATGAGTATCGGAGAATTAGTGCGGCTTCAGGGGTGAGCATGCTGAGCCCCTGGTGGCCATACAGGTGAAGGTCCTTAGAAGGCAGCCAGGTCAGGAGAGAAATCTGAAGCGGGGAAGTCTTTTGGTTTTGAGAGCCATTTGTACATGGACGGGGTGACGCCATAGGGTAAACTGGCCACAGAGAAAAAGTGGAGTGTTTAAAAGCGGGTCATGGGAAGAACACCAAGAACAGCAGCTTTGGGGGAAGAGGGGACATGGGGGGCGGGGTGGGGGTTGTGCCAAATGGAGCTTAAAAAGAAATTGAGGAGGAATGGTCTGAGAGAGCAGGAAAACTCGCAGGGGGACCCTATGTTCCTGCATGAGGATGTAGCTTTTTGTTTTCAAATGACCTGGCTCCTTTAGCTCTCTAGCTTGGAAAGTTTCTTAACCCCTCCGAGCATCAGTTTGTTATCTGTGATGTGGGGATAGCGGTACGCACTTCACAAGGTTGTTGTAAGAAAAACAGGGTGCCCATGTGGCTGCTTAGGAGAGCTCTTGACACATAGTAAGCACTTGGGTATGTGGTCTGGGAATGTTTTCACCAAAGCCACAGGAGGACACTTGTAAGGAGCAGGAAGCGGCCAAGGGTGTGAATGCTGCCGAAAGGTCAAGTGAGGTGGTTACCGAAGCATCTTTGGATTCGGCACGTGGGTCATTATGGCCACCCCCAGAATGGCTGTGGTGGAGCGGTGAGCGTGGAGAGGCAGAACCAGGGAAAAGGAGGTTTGGAACGTGCTGATTCAGCCTTCTCCGTCATCTCTCCGGCCCCTTGGCTGAGAGGTGGGAGAGGATGCAGGCTTGCACTGGCTAGAGCAGAATCTCCCGGTGCCGCTCCAGGGGGACCCCCCTCCCGCATTCAGAGACGTGTGGCGGACAGCAACCATCTGGGTGTGTCCCCCTCCCGCGATGGAGACAGAACTCTCTCCTCTCTTCAAGGTTGCTATGGAGACATGGAGGGGTCCGTGACCAGTTTTCAGGTCTATGTCACATCTTGACTTTGTACTGGTTGTGAGGGCAGGGACCGTGTTTTAGATATCATTGCGCCACGGCACCATCTGTCACACTGCGATCTCATATCCTCGCTCGGCTCTAATGAACATCCATGAGCCAGTCACTCCCAGATCTATTCTCTCCAGCCCAGTTCTCATTCCTGAGGGTCAGACATATATCCAGCGGCCTGCTGCTTCTCTTCTCACGGGTAGCCCACGGATGCTAACGGACTCAAAACGTCTAAGACTGGACTCATGGTCACAGCCTCCGTCCTCCGTTAAACTCTTCACCCTCGTCCCGTGTTCCCCGTGTCAGTAAATCACGCCTCCTTCCACTCAGCTCCCAAGTCAGAAACTGGGGCTCATCCTTGACTCTTCCTTCTCTCCCAGCCCCCCACCCCCCGCCACGTCCAGTTAATCACCAAGCCCTGTTGTTTCCACCTGTGAAGTCTCTCTCATTCCGGTCACTACTCCCTTTATCCATTTTTTTTTTTTAAGATTTATTTATTTGAGAGAGAGAGAGCGAGCAGTGGGAGGGGCAGAGGGAGAGGGAGAGAGAGAATCCTCAAGCAGACTCCCGCTGATGGCAGAGTCCCAGGCGGGGCTTGATCCCAGGACGCTGAGATTATGACCTGAGCCAAAATCAAGAGTCAGCCGCTTATCTGACTGAGCCACCCAGGCGCCCTATCTGTTCATTCTTACATTCATTTCCCTGGCTCGGTGAACGCACCGGCAGCTAGCCGGCATTAGGCAATGGGAATGCGTTGGTGCGGCAAACAAGCTAGGTCTCCGATCTCATAGAGCTTGTATCTAGAGAGGGATCCAGCCCAGTCGCAGCTCTTTGATCGCCCACTAGATTGCAGTAGTCTTCTCAGGAGCACCATGCCTCTCGTTCATCCATCAGCATTTATTTGTCGAGTCTGCACGAGCTGCCTGTCACCGTGCTGGGTATGCCCGAAGAGCATAAAGGCCAGCGTGACTGGGAGGCATTGAGCAAGGGGCAATGGAAGGCTGGCTGATGTAGGAGGCTAGCTAGCAGTCAGAACACCTAAGATCTGCTGGGCCCTGTAAAAAATGTACTCTTTCTTTCCAAAAGGAACAGGGAGCCATTGAAGGAAAGGCTTCAAGCAGGGAAGTGACATAATGCTCTTCGGGCCGACTCTTCCCATCTGGTTTCACTATTAAAATGAGTGTGGAGCTCATCAGATGACAGTCTAACATCCACAGGTCACCAGATGCCCCAGTCACACAGTGGGGGCCCTGAAGCCGGGCTACCATTCAGACCTTGACTGTGCCTTTCATCGGAAGGCGGGAGATGCACTTGACTATAGGCTGCTCTTGCTATTGCTAATCAGACATGACCCACCCTATGTCCTTCACATCTCAGCTTCTCTATCAATTTATGTCACCCATGATCTCAGCTTGTCAGATGTTAGCACTTTCTAAATTATCATCGAATCTCTCCTGGCACGCCACGTGGCTGAATGTGGCTACATGTTGATGATTTCGCAGTGCTCTGCCTGTGAACGTGGAGAGTCAGCAGATGGCTTGACTGCCTTAAGGCGAGCCTTGGAGCTTTCAGGCAAGCCAGTGCCCAGATCCGCCATTTTCCACCTCTTATCACTGGAGGTGGGGCAGGCCTTGTGGAGACAGACTGCATGCCCAGCAAGCAGAATCCAGAATCCAGAGTTCGACAGCCAACTGCAATGGTATTCGGGGCAAGTCAGTACTGTGAAGTCCCCATATGGAGGAAAGAGGGCAGGGACATATGCACGGGGCCTAATAATGGGGATCCCAAAGCAGAAGATAATCAGAAGTTTGGGCAACAGTGCTTTCAAGGAAATACATACATGAGCTAGTTGTAGGAGCCCAGGCCCCAGAATAGCAATACAGAAATAAGATCTGAGTCCTGGTGGGGGTGGGGGTGGGGATGGAAAGAGAATGGATCAAATAGGGACTGTAACAAGGAGCCCCCGCATCTCAAGGGCTTAACACTACAGAATTCTATTTCTCACTCACCGGACAGTCCAAATGTGGGCTTTCAGTAGGTAGCCTTCCACGCAGTGATCTGGGGAATCAGGCTCCTTTAGTTTTGGGGCCCCGCCATCCACTACCCTGCAGATGCCTCTGCTGGATCATCCTGCAACCAGCTGGTGAAGGGGAAAGGGAAAAAGAAAAGGCGTTAGGAAGGTTTTTACAGGTCAGGCCTGGGAGTGGCATGTTTATCAGCCATCCTGATACCCTTGGCCAGAATTCAGACGCGGCCACACCTACCTGCAGAGGAGGCTGGAAATGGAGAAAAAGAAGTCTGGCGAGCACATAGCATTCCTGCCACAGGTAGGTCCCATCTTGGGTATGTTCTCAGTCCAGTGATTCCTGCATAGGAAGCCCGCTACTAGAACAGGGTGGAAGGTGGCCTGCTTGAGGCCCCCGAAAAAGCCAAAGTCAGTTCAGGATCAGGGACAAAGAGCAGCCAGTCTGTGAGATGATAGGGTGCTGCTGTCTGTGTTCTGGCCTCCTCCCCAGCTGAGCCTGGGTCCCAGGGCACTGGCTGTCAGCTGGGGCTCTGTTCTGAAGTCACAGCCAGGAGCTTGCCCACAGCTCCATGAACCCATCGGAGCTATCCGTGTATGATGCTCATTCAGACCCAACTAGACTAGACTAGTCCACCTAACTAGATCCTCTTAGAATGTGGTGCTACTTGAATCAACTCCCCATGCCCCAAATGGACTATGTGGATCAGACATATTTGCTCTGCCTGAAGAAGTCAACTTTGTACCTGGAACATTCTGTCAAGCCCTGTCTTCACTGGTACTAGCTCCCTCCCCATCCATACTAGTCTGTGTACTGAGGTCCCAACCTGCCTTTTCCCTGTGCCCACCTGAGTTATGACAGGCCTTGTGCGATTCTATATTCTCACGCCCACCCCCCACCACCCCCCGCAACAGGCCAGGCTCCTTCCTGTGCATTTTCAAAACTCAGATGTCACCTCCTCAAGGAAGACCTCCAGGACTACCCATGATGATGAGTTGCTCTTTTATGTCCTGCCATAACATCCCAGGCTTTCTCTATTGAAGTCGCCTGACTAGTTGTATATCTCTATACTCCAGACGTAAGCCTTCTGAGAACAGAGGGTGTGTGCATCTAATCCAACAGAGTAGTCCCAGGGGCAAGGAGAGAGCCTGTCTGTCCCTCAGTAGGTGTTCATGAAATGCTTGAGCGAAGGAATGAATGCCCGTGTTTCAGGTAGCAGCCACCAGATGGCAATAGTGCTCTTTGGGTTATGAAGGTAAACGCGCAGACTTTCTGCAAGAGCACCTGCAATAAATTTGAGGTTTGTTCCCATCATCGGAGCCCTTGGTTATTTTTCTGTAAAATGTATCTGTTAGTTGAAATAACCACAAAGTCACTGCTCAAGCTAGACCTTGTAGGAGAGATGTTAACAAACGGCATCCCATAAGGAAAGGAAGAGGTACAGAGAAAGCACCGTGGAGTCCCTGGGTCCTTAGTAGCCCTCTCCACGGGATCTCAGTATGGGGTTATTTAACTCGAAGGCCCGAGAGTATCCATTCAGACGCGTGTGAAGTTTCTGAAGCTGCCCAGCCTGACCCCCGCGTGGCTGCCTGTACCTGTTCCGGGTTCGCCGGCTCTAATTTCACTTGCTTATCTTACCGGGGTTTTGCCAGTAGACCAGTTTGGCTAGAGAGGAGGGTTTATGAAGGCTCGTGAGAGATAAGGCTGGACGGAGGGAGGGGCCAGCGGGAGGACGCCTCTGGATAGCAGGCTGAGGAGTGCGGACTTTACCCCACGCACAAAGGAATAGAAAGAAGGTTCTAGTGCCTCGCACATCTGCGCCTGCGTGCGTGTGTGCGGGCGGCGAGCATGCACGTGAGGGCCGGGGGAGTGGAATGGGGAGGGAGGGATGTGTGCCAAGTGGTGTGGAGAAGGATGGATGATGGGGCTGGGGGGCACTGAAGCGAGGGAGACCAACGGCGCGGGGAAGGGGGGTGTCACTGTAGCAACCTAAGATGTAGGGCGGAGGCACCAGACAGTGGGGGTCGGGGATGGCGGACATCCGGGTGGATTCGGGTAGGTTCCACAGGTAGGACAACTGCAGGATCGGACGACTGGTGGGGGAAGCAGAGGGGGAGAAGAGAGCCTCGCAAGGAGCCCCACTGTTGGACTAAACCCTGCCTTTGTGCAAATTAGAAAAAGGCCTGTCCTACCCCAGAAAAACCAGGCTCTTTCTTTCTGCTTAGATGACTTCTCAGTGAAGGGATGACACTCGACTTCTACCTGCTGGCAAACCATCTTCTCTGCAAAGCTCCTGGATGACTGGGGGGAGGGGGGGGACGGTCCCTGAGTCAGTCGGTCCATGCCCGCCCTGCTCCACGGTGGGGTGGGACCAGTTCCAAGCCTGGATGCAGGAGGCAGGAATGGGATGGTATTTCTGGGCGAAATGGGGACAAATGGACGGGGGGCTGCTTTTAAGAGGAGGAGCATCTCGAGTTTCCTACATCTCCGGCGCAGTGGTTCTCGAACTTTCGAGGGCGTCAGACACACACGGGAGGGCTTGCTAAAACACAGGGTGCTAGGTGTCTGATTCAGCAGGTCTGGGCTGGGGTCTGAGAACTGACATTTCTGCCAAATTCCCTGGTGATGCTGATGCTGCTGGTTCTGGGACCATTCTTGGAGTCCTACCCAAACCAGATGAATCAGAATCCAGGTGGAAGAAAATCTGGGTATCTTCCCTGTACCTACACCATAGATTCAAAGACAGCACCCCTGTGGACAACTCAGGTCAGAGGACACTGCTGTATATAGAGCTGCAGTATTTTGGCAAAGTGTTTGGCTTCTATTTATGAATTTCCCCCGTTTTGTCTCTAACACTCTCCTCTTTCCCCCAGGAGAGGATTCAACTTTCCCTCTTTTCCTGACCGGAGTACTGGACTGGCCAGAACTGTCCCGTCCTCCCTGAGAAGCAGTGTGAACTGTTTCAAACTTGGTTCTTTATTCTAAGTACTTGCCACTTTGCTTTGTCTAGCTCTTCCAGATATCTTCTAGATATTCCAGAAACATCTATCCTGCATTTCCTGTGGGCAGGACATGCCTGCTTACTGCTTACCTGCTGAATAGGAGCTACCATTCTCGGTCATGAGCTCCTTCTACCCCAACCCTGCTCTCACCCCTGCACTCTCCAGCTACCCAGTGCTTTGGAGTAGATGTCTGTCTTACCTGCCAATACGATTATTCGAGGTTCTGCAGAAACTAAAAAAAAAATGTGTGTCCTTTCTCCCAATATGGTAGTAGAAAGAAGAGGTAACATAAGGTGTGTGTGGGATAGAAGTAAATATGGGTCTGAAATCCCACATAATTACATAATGGAGAGGTATTGCCAAGGTAAATTAATAGGAAAACAGTTGGGTGATGTTTACCGACAAAATCAGTTTGGGGTGTGTTAGTCCCTGCTTTTGCTTTGTAAAATGAACCACGAATACATCTCCCAAGAGGCAACCCCCTCATGGAAGTGACCACATTTTTCTATCTGCTTAGTCAGGTGACCTCAAAACTAGGGATATTGCCAAGATAAGGGCTGAGAGCTACCTGGGGTTCTTCAATCACTGGCTGCTTTGCTGAGCGCCTCCCCATCCGTCTGGCTGGCTGTCTGTCTCGTGTCTGTCCTAGCTTTCCATCTGTCCTGCTCTCTGTGCTACCCTCACATGCTGGAATGCCTGCCTTTGGTCTGTATTCTCTTACATCAAAACACCTGGATGGGAAAACTGAGATTCAAATGACGTTCGCTGTCAGTATCATGTGGACACCTCCCCTTCTTCCTACAGGTTTTGTAACTTGGCCAAGCCACTTTGGATTTGAGGCAGGACTTAGGCTCGCAACTGAGATCAGAGAAGCCAGCATGCTATCATGCATTTAGGAAACACTCTGGAACATCTGCTAGGTGAGGACTTCAGGGACAGGTGCCAAGAAAGGAGGATAGATAAGAAAAGTGCCCTGTGATCAGGGAGCTTGCCGATCAGTGGCCCAGGACACTAGACTTGAGGCAAAACCACAGGATGTAGAGTCCGGGTGAGGACTCTAGGTCAGTGCCAAGAATCACCACCTTTGGAAAAGTCAGGAAAATCATCTTGGGAAACCAATGAAAGATTACAGGCACTTAGTCCAGTTTTCCACCTTCATAGCATCCTGGGCACCTGGTCGACTGGTCTCTGCTTGATTTCCTCCCATTCTGAGGAGCTCACTTCCTTGTGAGGCAGCCCTTCTCTTGCTACAGGGCTTCAGAAGCTGCACCGGATTTCCCCAAGGACATTTCCTCACCTGAACCGTCACTCCCACATCTGTTCTTTCATCTGATAGTGACAACACCCTGTGATGTAGGCAGGGTCGTAGAGTGCCCACTTGGCCAAGCAGTTACACTCAGTCTTGGTCAGGTTCAGTGAATCTTGGCAAAGACAAGACTAGCACTCAGGCTGCTCAACTCCTGGCCTAACAATTTTTTTTTTTTTTTAATCATATAGCTCTACCATTGCATTGAGAGCAATCCAGACTCCAGATTTCTGAATTTGAAATGTACCTCACTACTAACCTTCCCAACAAGCCTGGGTGAGAAGGTGAGGGTTAGAACCATGTGCCCTAGAACTTTGGCCTTCATGAAGAACAAGCCAATTGCCTGGGCTCTGGGCTGAGTCAGTGGGGAAGTGAGCTGAGGTCAAAGGGAAGCCTGTTCTTCATACTCTAGCTAGAGATATGGAGTCAGAGGCTCTTTCTTTCTGCTTAGATGACTTCTCAGTAAAGGGCTGACACTCTCCCAACATCGTGGTGCTTCATCCAGGAGAGATAGGGAGCAAAGGTGGTGCTGGAGGAAGGCAGCGTCAAAGCCATATGAATAGTCCAAAAGGAATGCCCATCCACATGGGGCCAGACAGAGAGATGACAACAAGATCCACACCAACAGATGGGCGACAGAGACTCGCTTGTGCAGAGTAGAGAGGAGGTAGGACCGAGCAAGCTCCTGTGTTGCCTTCGCCTCATTCATC